CCTTAGGCAGGGCTGAGACCTCAGGAGGCAGCAGGAAGAACTCCAGCAATTTCAGCAGCACTAATATTTCACTGGGAGGGACTTGAACAGCCTGTGGCCCTCAAGTGCTTCATCCAGGCCTGAAGCTCATCCTCTGAGCAGAACATCTCACCTGATCCCAAAGCTCTCCTGGCATTTCCATTGGGCTGCACACCAAGGAAGGGAGAGCGTCCTGCTGGTGGAGGGCTCCAAGCTCTCTCTCTTCTCTCTTTTTGGCCTCTGAATATAATTCATCCAAGCTTTTATGAGGCAATTCACATCCAGATTTTATTAGAAGTGGAAGGCCCTTTTATTTCCTCAGTGTATTCAGCCCAAAGAGAACTGGTGCTCTGGTTAATTTTATTTCTTTGCTTTCTGTGTTTTAATAATGATCTCCCCAGTTCCATTCAGCTCTGAAAAGGTGGGGGAGATTGGACAGATATGGAGAGTTGGAATAATGCAATCACGTACTGCAGAGAGACAAATACTGGTTAAAGTGAAGTGTAATGAATATATGACTGAGGCAGAGACATAAAAGACTGCTTTAAATACAAAATCTGATGTATTTGCTCACCTCTCAGGCATAGGAATGCACTCTCAAAAAAAAAAAAACCAAAAAAACCCCCAAAAAACAAAAACCAAAAACCAGATATGATTTGATATGAAACCAGATATGATATGATATGAAAACAAAACAAGACAAAGACTTACCAGAACAAAAAAAAATCTTCCTGTGACACAGAGTATTTGTGTGTGGGTGACAGTAGGAAATGACACACAGCTCCAAGCTCACAAAGGCCAAGGCTTGTCCTTGTGATATTTCTTTCATCCCCCAGCTGAGATCTCCCTGTTCCTGCAGCTGCCTGATGGGAGGATATCAAACCAAAGGCACTTCCACCACCCACTGCACCAGTCCTCCTCTGCAGAGAATTTTTCCACGTGCATCCAACCAGATTGGAACACCAGGCAGGCTCAGGGATGGCTGTCTGGGGCTCATGGAAAGGCAGCCAGGCTTTGTAAGCCTAGATTAAAACCCAGGGAGGGATTCAGCTCCATTTTAACATCATTCCTTTATCTGATACTCACAGTCTGCATGTCATTAAGTGAATGTGTTTTGGTTTCTGGGGGATGCACACAGTGCAGGCATTGAGAGACTCAGCAGTGAGTGCTTCCTACAGACCACGTAATGGGAAAATTAAAATCTGCCTGTGCTGAACATGGAACCCCCCTGGCAGGGTCAAGGAAATTAATTTTAAGTAAAATGGGTTAAACACCAAAGAATCTCCCTCTTGTTTGGGCTGGGGATTTTTTCCCCACAATAAATCATGCTGCCAGCAGCACCTCTACAACTGGATTTTTTGTTTTTTAAACACTGGCACGGGTTGTCCAGAGAACTTGTTGATGAACCATCCCTGGAAACAGCCACAGTCAGGTTGGATGGGGCTTTGAACAACCTGATGTCCCTGCTCCTTGCAGGGGGGTGAAACTAGAAGACCTTTAGTGGTCTCTTCCAACTCAAACAATTCTATGATTTCTCTGAAATTTCAGAAGCCTCCCATTGGCCCAGCTGAAAATGTAAAGGTTGATACAGATCAGGCTGGAAAGGTTCCCACCTTTCCCTGAAAACCTGTGTATTGCTGCCAGTGAGCAACATGCAGCTTTCAGCTGGTTCCTAAGGAAACAGCAGAGGTGTACCCAGGTGTGGGGGGTGTGGCAAGGCCCCACTGCAGTTTTGGGGTGCTGGGGACCAAGGGCCCTGAGAGAGCCCCACAGCCCATTGAGGTCCCTGCACATCCCAATTAAATCCAACTTGAGGTCAGCCCTGCTGCTCCAGCTCCTCCTGGAGGGAGAGAGCTCTGCATGCTCCATTCAAGTCCTGTTTTTGCAAGTGTCAGCAGGCACCACTTCTCCTGCTTTTCAACCAAATGCAAGAGACCTGCTCTGAGTTTTGACCCTCATTTTCACTGTCTACACCCTCCTGCACCCACCTCACCCAGAAGCTGAGCAGGAGCACCATTTTTAACAAGATGCTGCAGATTCAGCAGAGTAATTAATCCCAACAGCAAGTGCTGTCCACTTTTTCCAGGTAATTCATTTAAAATGGGAAGTTAATTCCATTCAATGGAGCTGCCCTTCATTGCTTAGAAAGAGACACAGCTTTGAACATCCCTGAGTGAAGCAGTTCTGGCACAAACCTTCCTCCTCCTCCTCCTCTATCTGCCCTGGCCCCTGCATCCCTGGGGAATGCCACATGCCAGTGCTGTGTGATCCTCTCCCTCTGGAGGCTGATGAGCCAGAGCTGGAGAGTTCAGGGAGGTGAGAGCACCAGCGTCCTGGAGCTGACGTTTGATCCAGCGGCTGCCCGTGCTCCCAATTAGCCTGCAAACGCTGCCTCCGGCTCACAAGCACTTTCAAAAATGAAATTTGACAAAAAGCTGCCTGCATTGCCATTCTTCAAGCCTCTCTGCCATATCAAAGCCTTTGAGAGTATCTGGGGACAACTTTTACAGCTGAGAAGGGCCCATTTGAGCACTGGCTCATTAGTGCTGCGGCTGTGCTGGCCACGGAGATGCTGAGCATCCATCAGCCCACCTACCAGGAGCACTCCTGAACACCAGCAAGTGTCTTAGGCTGGGAAGTCACCTCTGAGGGAGCCACCGAAGGGTTTTTCAAGCAGGGTTTTTCAAGCAGAAGGGTCACCCAGCTCATCTGCTTCTAGGGGAGCTGATTAGAGCCGCGTGTTTCAGGAGCCGTGGCACCCCGCAGCAGCTCCATGCCTGGCTCTTTTTTCTCCCTTTGCTCACAGTAATGATCTGAAGCTCCTCGGAGGGGGCTCAGCCGGGGAGGACAGCAGCAGCATTTATTTTAATAAATAACATTCATGAACTGGCTTTCCAGGCTGCAGCTTGGTGAGGGATGTGATGAACATCAGGGAGGAAAGATTGAGAGAGGCCCTGGCACAGGGTGCCCAGAGAAGCTGTGGCTGCCCCGTCCCTGGAAGTGTCCAAGGCCTGGTTGGGCAGGGCTTGGAGCAGCCTGGAATAGTGGAAGGTGTCCCTGCCCATGGCAGGGGCTGGAACAAGGTGAGCTTTGAGGTTCTGCAGGATAAGGCTGATTGTGCCTCCTTGATCTTCTCTTTGATAAGTTACCATTAAAAACATCACCTGGGGCATTTCCCTGAGCAGTGATTGCAGCCTAAGGTGCCAGGTTTCTGGCAGGGCTGGTGTATTTCAAGGTGTGCTTCTGCACTGAGGAGGTTTTGGGGCAGTTCTGCTCAGTTCCAGTGGATTTTCCAGGACTGGCTGCACTCTGGGCTCTAAGTGACCACAGCAGATCTGCTCCAGGTGCTGCTCAGACCAAGGTCCCTACAAAGGAGAAATCATCATCAATGTGTTTGCACCATAGTTAGGAAAAGTATTTGCACTGGGAAACCAGAAGGAATATCTTTAGTTGTTACTTCTGCAATTTAACATGACTGTTAGAAACATCTGATGAAAATAGTACCAGAAACATTGGCAAGCATATCTCCCTTCAAAACCAAATTACATCACAGCATCAACCCCACTTTAATGGATGAGCTCAAAAAAAAAGGCTGAAGGGGGAGGAAAATTCTGAGAATAACACCTTTTTTTTTTTCTTTCGAAACAGCTCCTCGTTTCTCCAATACATTCATTTTGCACTATTATTTCTCATGTAACTGTGAAGAAATTAAATACTTGAAAACACAACAAAACCTATAAATTAAACCAAATGTTTTGATTAATGCAAACCCACTGGCATTTCTTTTCCTGAATAATTTAAAAATTAAGCTGAGAAAACCAATTCCCTGTCTGAGAAGCCTCTGTAAAAGGGAATGTTTGGTATTTTGCAGCACTTCTGTTAAGTGCTGGACTGGTGTCAGCATCTCATTCTTTTAACACTTAGAACAATTTTAAGCCACCCACACTCCAGCTCTGAATTATTTAGGAAAAGATTTCTCTTTCTAGACCTTCTCTGTAGTCCCTCAGCAAAGGGACTGATTGTACTTGGCATTTTTTATCTAGGATAAAAATACTGTATTTAAATAATAGTGACTGTGTCCACAAGATATATACCTTCAAAGCAAAGTTGGGCCATATTTTGTCCTCCATCCCTCACTCTTGTGTCATAAAAATGTTAGGGATTTCTCCTGTATGGAAATAATCTGATCTTGAAAGGAAAATTAATGGAATTTCCATGGGTGACCCCTCCTCTTGTTCAGCAGGCTTTTGTTAGGGAAGACAACTCCTCTATATAGCTACATTAAAATAAACAGAAAAAAACCCCAAGTTATCTTTTTCTGAATGTTTTAAGACATTATTTTAATGAGTCTGTCTTTTTGTTAGTGCTGGAAATAAAACATTCACTGTGAGGAAAGAGTAAATATTGTCCCAGAGGCAGAATGAGGCAACCAGAGGCAGACAGAGAGAAGCTGCATTGGGGGACACAGCCTGTCGGCAGCTGGATTCCCTATCCTAAAGACAACATATCTGCAGTGTGGAACAGGGCGATCTTCCTGAGCCATTCTTGGACCCAAATGGAGCCCTGAAGCCTTTGAGCACATCATCAGAGTCACAGAGGTGATTCCATGCACCCACAGTGAGGTTTGCACGCAGGCTGGATGGGAAGGAACTTGTAGAGTGCAAAACCTGAGCCAAGTTGGGCCCAGTTCCTGCTTGGTTAATGGAGGCAGAGGTTTGGCAGTGTCTGAGCTGTGTTTAGCACATGGTTTACTTGGGCTGGCTCCCTGGGGGAAATCTACTGAGCAGCAGCTGCTCAGCTCACCTCTCCTGGGAAAGCTGCTCAGGGACACACACGGGAATGGCAGGAGGGGACACCAAATCTCCCACACCTCAGAGACACTCTGTCTTAAACTTCTGCCTCAGGGCTTTCTGCACGTTCTGGATCTTCTCTGTGATCACAGTGTCACTGAGGTGATCCCCAAACTTCTGCTTCAGCAGCACCCTGATGATTTTGATGCAGCGTTCGTCCATCATGGGCTTCGCCTCGTGGAAGGTGTTACCCCTGCGCCCCGTGATGGAATGGCTCTGGATGTAGTCAGAGGTGAAGAGCTTGTAGAGCAGAGTCTTGCAGGCTGTGCTGATTTTCTGGTCAAACCTGACGGTCTCTTTCAGCTGCTCCTTGGTGTAGCCCTTGAAGAGCTCCACCACCTCACACGGCTGTCGGTGGGGCTCCTCCTGGAAGGACAGGGATTCCAGCCTCTGCACCTTCTTCTTCAGAGAGAAGACGTCCTGCTGGAGGTCCAGCACCATCCTTTCCAGCTGCTCCATCTTCTCCACCCTGAAAAATTAAAGTTGCTTGTGTAAAGGCAAGAAGACACCATGTCCTCACTGTGGATGTCACTCCTCCACCCAAGCAGTGATTAGATGCCTGCAGGGCAGGACAACTCCTCTGGCAGAGTATCAACCCTTCCAAGGACTCCTGGGTGAGGAATAAGGCAGGAGAGAAAAAAACCATGGTCTGGACTTTTCAGTGCTCAGGAACGTTCAGTTTAACCCTCAACTCCCCCTGGGCCTGCATACATGGAGACTTTGATGCTCAATTTTCTTCTCAGTTGTAAGGAAGGACATAAAGCCTGTCTTGCAAGTCCCAGGACACACATATTTGTGGTATTAAACAACAGACTTGTGGGAAATGACAATACAAGAACCATAACTTGAATTTTTTGGTACCCATTTCTTTGCAAGAAAACTGTCCCTAGCATCACTTTATCACTGGATACTGGCCATCAAAGTAATGAGCAATAAAACAAGAAACACACAACCATGTTTTGATTGTTATAGGCAAGAGCTTTGTAGTTTCTGCACTGTTTTAGAGCTTTCTTGCATCTCTAAATCCAAGCCCTACAACCAGAAACACCTGGCTCAATTGTAAAGAGACTCAGCAACTTTGGAGTTTAAAATCGTCCCACTTTGTCACCCATCTGGGATCTCACTGCTCACTTTTGTAGTGAGGAGGAGAACACAGTGCCTTCTTTTGCTAATTACCTTTCCACCTCAGCAGGACTGAAATTTTTGTGAGTCCTCTCAAAGCCATCCATCTCTTGCAAAGCATCAATCTTTTGCTCCTCATGGCTGGAAGAAACAAGGAAGTTAAACAGCACTGCCACAAACAGCTCATCTTCAAATTCATTCCCGAAGAGAATTATCTGGAATGCAACGCAAAGTCAATTCTGGTTTCATTTGCAACAAGAATAAAATAGACTGAGAGGGAATACGAGGGGTTCTTCATGTGAACAAACTCCTGTGCATCCTCCTGGCACACAGATATGGGGGACCTCCCACTGACCCACCATGGAATCAGGACTTCAGGGCAGGCTCATTTTTTTGCTGTATGTGCCCACACAAACTCCTGTTATCTTCTGTGCTTTGGGTTCAACCTCCACGAGCATCCACTCAAAGCAAACACTGGCAGAGAATAGAGACAGAGTGGACAGAAATCAATATGTGTGGTGTGAAACATTCAGGCTCCTCACTATGCTTTCAGGTGTTACCTGTTCACACAGATCTGCTGCTGGCACGGGGACAAGATGCCATCTGACTTCCTCTTCATTGGTAGGGCAACATAATCTGCTGCAGGGGTGGGAGACAAGCTGAAGAATCAGTTGTTGAAATCCCCTGCTAGATTGCATGGCAACATGTTATTCCATTTGCACAACAGTGATCCAGACAGGCTCTCCAGGACTGATCAATGGAGATTTGCCATTAGCAAAAGGTGGCATCTCAAGGGCTTCTGTTCCCAGTGCAAATGATATGGTGGGGGCAAGGCAAGCAGAGCCAACTTGTCTCTGGATGCTGCTGTTAGTCAGCAGGTAAATAAGACACTAGCACATTTTCATAAGTGAATTTAATGGGTACAGAAGTGGGTGGAAAAATGGGGAAATAGGCAAATCTAGAAGGTTTGACTAATGGAGACACAGGGCTTTTGGGAATTTCAGTTATTCAGGCAGGTATTCATTCAGATTGTTTTTTGGTTTGAGGGGAGAGGAAAACTGCCACCCCAGGAGACAGAGCAGAGGCCATACACTGCATCTCCCTTTAGACACCCCTCCTGGAACAGATCTCCCAGGTGGAAAGGAGCAGGAAATGCCATCTCTAACCTCTGTAGCCCTGAGACAAAGCCCATACACCCCTAGAGCAAAGCAGGTGTTTTCTGGCTGCCCTGCAAGTCCCCATCCCACCCTGTCACCCTCAGGACCAGGCAGCAGGGCCAGAACCCAAGGTTACCTCTGGCAGCTGGACCAGCCCTGTCCTCTTCACTCTGGGAAGTGCGTGGCCCTGGCATGGCCATGGTGATGAAGGAGGATGGAGGTGTGAAGGCACTGGCTGGCTGGGGGGGAGCTGCCAGCGAGCAGGGGCTCCCTGCCATGCTTCCCAGGACACGCCTGTCCTTGAGGATGGAGGAGCTGCTGGCATCGTGGGGCAGGCTGGCCTCTGCCACCCTCAGCAGAGGCTCTGCAGGACAGGTCCTGTCACTGGGGTGTTTCCTGGATGCATTCCCTGGGGTCCATTTTGGAAAGGTTTTCCTGGATTTCTTTGGTGGGGATGGCATCATGCTGTGGACAGCTGGTTCTTCTTCTGAAAGGAAGGGAGAGGCTCAGGATGTGCAGTGGGGCAGCAATGTGTGTACCTTCCACTCCCACTCAGTGCTCTGTACACTGATTGCAGTGATGTGAAATTTATAATGCCACTACAACATGCTCACCATCCTCCCATCCAAACAGCCCCATGGAAGTAGGAAGGTGCAGTGTCAAATGCCCTTACTCACTTAACTTCTCCAGGAGCTGTCGATCTTCCAGCAGCTTCTTCTCCAAAATACCTTTATGCTCTGTAGCAAGAGAAGATCTTTCAGCACTGAACTCCTTCTTGCTTCTGAGCAGCCCCAAATTGCAAACCCAGGCCAGAGGGGTGTCACTTACCACTGATGCCTTCCACCACACCCCAGTAGAGCCCACTGAAGCCAGGGCAGCGGGCCAGGACCTGCTCCCCCACGCTGTAGAGGTGGAAGGGCTTGCGGGGCTCCTTGATGTTCTCCATGCTGATGACCCGGCTGCCGTCGGGCCAGCTGATGAGCACGTACAGCTTGCCTGACATCAGGGCTGCCCACCTGGAGCAGAGGGACAGCATGGCAATGTCACCACAGGGGTTTGGGCTCTCCTGTGGGTGGGAGTGTTCACAAGCTGTGCTTTACCCAGGGCAGCACAACCTGCAGATATAAAATGCTTGGCACTGCATTTTCTCTGCCAGTTATTTCTCTGTTCCCATTCTCACCCCTCTGAGCTTGCCTCATCCTAAAGCCCTTTGCTGGGAGGCTCCCTTGGGTCTGGCTGAGCTCAGCACCACATGCCTCCAGTGCATCCAAGTGTTCTCTGCAGTGACAGCCATGCCAGGTCTCACCTGGGCTCAGGCAGCCCTCACAGCTGACACTTGGAGCAGATGCTGAACAAGACACTGAGCAGACACAGGCTGGTTCCTCTCCTCAAAGGACTTCAGTGCATCTACTGCAGTTTGCTCCAGTGCAGGGCTGTGTCTGTGTGCTATCAAGGCAGTGCAGAGAAGAAACTCTAAAAGACCCAGGGGTATTCTAGGAAATTATCATTCCTTTGCCTGCACAATTATTTCCCCCAGTGAACATCAAAATGCTTTGATAAGGAGAACAGAAAATTCCCTTCATTTCACCCATGGGGAAACTGAGGCACAGACCAGTGTTGGATATGTCTAAGGCAGTCAGCAACAAAGCTGAAAGGAGCTGGATCCTGAGTACCTGGCCCACTGCTCTGCCCACTGAGCTTTCTCTTTCTGCCCCTGGAGCTGCAGACTTCAATCACTGGAGAAACTGGAGAGCCAGGCTGGTGGGGATTTCCAAAACCTCCCGTGCCAGAGGAGCAGCTGAGGGCTGCTGAGCTCAGGAGCAGTTTCCTTCCAGCTCCTAAGGGCCCTGGCAGCATCACTCCAGTCCTGCCTGCTCTGCTTGGCAGCAGGATTTGGCAGAAGGCTTCTGGAGACAGGGCTGAGCCCATGTGCTGGCACCAGCTGGGGAATGGCTACAGAGTCCAAAGAAGATGGGAGGGAGCTGGGGCAGGCAGAGAGTTGGAGCTGAAAAGGCAGCTAGGACCCAATTTATTCCAGTTTTTTGTTTTATCTCCACACCCCCATTCAAGTCTTGCCTGGATTTGACTCCTCTCACTTGGAAGGTCCAAGTTCACTCTGCAGAACTTTCTCCATCCCTATCTCAGCCACCATCAGCTGCAGCAAAGCTCCCTGCAGGAATCATAACTCTCCCCAAACCTGCCAGTCTGCCCTGCTGGCACAGTCTCACACCTGCTTCTCTCCAACCCATTTCTCCTGACTGATACACACCCTGGCATTGATTTTGCATCAGGAAGCACCATACACAAAATCTCTGTGTGCCTGTCTCCCCACATCCCCTTCCCTGCAGCAGGCAGCTGCCCCCAGCCCTCTCCTAAACACAGGGAATGCTACAGAGCAGAAACTGGGATAAATGCATAGCTAAGCCCTCTCCCTCCCAGAAACAGAGCTCCACATTCCAGACAGCAAACAACCCCAGCCCAAACAGCTCTCTGGAGGGGCTTTCCTTTAACATTTGAAGAAAACACACTCATCTTCCTTCCCCAAACCAGTTGTTCATTTACCCTTATGAATGCAGCAAAATTACACAAAATCACAAACAGAGAGAGAAAAAAAAGAGAGAGATCACAATCCTGACAGCAACAGAGCTGCTCCTTGCCTGGTTAGCACTGCTCCAGGTGTTGAGTCGTGCAAGATGTCTCCTGTCTCTCCAGGTCTCTGCTGCCTGCTCCAGGAGAGGAGGTGACCAGACACTTCCTTGCCTTGGGCTTGTCCCTTCACCACAGGTCCTTGTCAGGTCTCCTTTGTCTGGCTTGGAAAGCTCCCACCTGCTGTCCCCACCGCAAAGAAAAAAAAAAAAAAGAGCTTTTGCTTTCTTTTTTCCTGGTTGTTTTGTTTCAGCATTATTATTCCTGTTCTTTTCCCATATACATATATTATGTTTTTCCTTAGCTTGTTTCAGGTCTGTTTCTTACAGGGAGAGAGAGCAGAAGAGAAGAGAAAAAGCCTTGGGTTTTTTGGAGCATGAATAAACCTTGCATTTCCATGAGTTATTCATGAATAATTCATGAAAATGCATGATTAATTCAGGTTCATGAATTATTCAGGAATAATTCTCCAACATTCCTGGTTAATTCATGCTCACACAGCCAGTGAGTCAGGGGACTGGAGGGCTGGGAGAATTCCTTTCTCCCTGAGACAGGAGAAGAGAGGCTTAGAGAAGCTGCATTGTGCACTTGCTGTTTACTGCCTCTGAGAAGAGAACATATTTTGGGCCCTTTTTGAAACAAGGACTTGAAGAAAATTGAAATGCCTGCAGCCTCCTGCCCACGGAGGAATAACACAGCACCAAAAGAATAAAAAAAGAGAGAGAAAGAAATTGGACTTGCTCACAGAGGAAAGCCAGGCAGCAAGTTTTATCCCCTTTCAAAGCATCTTTCTACCCCCACCTCCATAGTTAGGATACATGTCACTGCTTCAGTTTTCACCTGCTGTGCAAAAAGAAGGATCCTCCACATGATTTTCTGAGGAGTCCAAGGGAATTCCCATTCCCCTGCTCATCTGTCCCTGTGTGTGTGTGTGCACAGTGTCTTCTCCCAGGTACAGGACAAGAGGAAACAGCCCCAAATTGCACCAGTGGAGGCTTAGAGTGGATATTAAGAAAATTTCCTCACCAAAAGGATTGTCCAGCACTTGCACAGGCTGCCCAGGGCACTGGAGTCACCATCTCTAGGGATATTTAAAAGAAGCGAGGATGTGGCAGCTGAGGACATGGTTTAGTGGTGAGCTTGGCAGTGCTGGGGGAATGGTTGGACTCCATGAACTTTGAGAGCTTTTTCAAGCTGAACAATTCTTGCAAAGCTCCTTGACTCAGTGTCCCAGCCAGGGTGAGCACTGGGCTCAGCACATCAGGCCTGGTGCTCACACCAGCGCAGACATCAAGCTGGCCATGCACAGCTCTGTGTTTCTCCCAAAAATATCACTGCTGCAGCACCTGGGGTTCCCCAGTGCTGGGCTTTTTATCCCTACTGCATGGAGGCTCACATAGCATGGCAAAGGATGGATCCCATGGATCCAACGTGCCATGATCCAGGCTGGGCACCAGCAGGGGAAGGTGCAGTGCACTGTCTGCACAACCCAACCAACCATCCTACCCCAGCCACTGGGTGAGATGGAAAAACAGATGGGGAGTGACTCCAAACAGCACTGTGTGCTTTATCTTAGCCAAAAACAGCACTGGAGGTTGTTGGGAGAAAGGGAGAATTCATTGTTCAGTGACACATTGGAAAAGGACCTTGATCAGATTCACAGAGTAAGAAAAATTCTGCACCCCTGATTTGCAATATTTGCAGCTAAAAAATACACCTGTCAGCCCAGGTAAAAGCAGATGTTCAACAGAGAGCTGGTTGGGATTAGGTAACAAGCAGATATGAATAGAAATGCACCAGTATGTGAATTCTGTGTAATTCTGAATGATGTTGCTCAAGACTGAGAGCTGCATAGTAATAAGAAATGGAAAAGCAATGATGAGAAAAATAATAGAGGTACACAACAATGGAGAAGAGACTGGATTCTGGTTTGAGGCAGGACTTGGTTCCAATAAAATGTGCCTAGGAAGAGGGATGGCTTAAACTGGCATTGTTTGCTTTCCTTTGAAGAACAACAATATCCAAAACACAACAGATGAATATTCCTGGGGTAGAGGTTGGTAATTCAACTGAAAACCACAGGAGAGGAAGGATTGCAGGAACCAAAAGAGGAAGACAAATTGTAGTCTCATCAAACAACAGAAAAGTCAAGTGCCTGTGTACAAATATACAACGTTTGTATTGAATTATTCCAGGAAAATGTGAGTCTGAAGTGAATCCCAGGTGTTTGACTTCATGAAAATTAGCAAGCCCTGATTAGATTTCCCTCTCAGTCGGTGAATATGAAATCCCTGGGCAGATACCTCACTTCTGGGTGTAGGCAGAGTTACTGTATTCAGGAACCTCTCCTCTGCATCTCCCATTTTTCTGAAAACAAGTCCCACCCAGTGGCCCCAGTGCCAGCACATGTCACCCTCTGAGCTGCACAGCTGAGATTTAAATTTCAGCCAGGACTGAAGAACAACAAAGGCTCCTTTGTGATCCTACCCAGAGATACAGCTGGGAACAACTTCAGCAGCTGTTTGAGCACTGCCCGGGTCTTTATCAGAACAATCTTAATTGATGTTGGAAGGGACTGAAAGTGCAAACACAGGTGGTTTTAATCCCCTTCTTCACTTAACCTCAGCAATGTAGCTCTTCTTTTGGCTGGGTTCAGCAGCCCAGTCATAGAATTCCAGAACAGTTTGTGTTAGTAAGGAACTGAATGACCATCTCATTCCATCCCCCCTGCCTTCCATTATCCCAGGTTCATCCAAGAACTGTGCAACTGGCCTGGAACACCTCCAGGGATGGGGCAGCCACAGCTTTTCTTGGCAGCCTGTACCAGGTCCTTACTGCCCTCACAGAAAATAATCTCCTCCCGATATCCATCTAAACCTGTCCTCTGTCAGGCTGAACCCACTCCGCCTTGTTCTGTCACTTTAGACCCTTGTCCAAAGTCCCTCTCCAGGTCTCCTCGAGCACCTTCAGGCATTGGAAGGAGCTCAAAGATCTCCCTGGAGCTTTCTCTTCTCCAAACCGAACAGTCCCAGCCGCTCCAGCCCTTTGAGCATTTTCACAGCCTCCTTTGGACTGACTCCAGCAGCTCCACATCCTCTACCAATTCCAGCAAGCAGCCAGAGTACAACAATTGAGAGACAAGAGCTACATGGTTCATTAATTTTTATCAACACAATGCCAGGACACAGCAACCCTCAAGCCCTGTGGTTCCCTGAGCCCAGCTCTGCATCCCCGCCACGCTGCCAGGAGAAAGGGAGGGCATCACCAGGAGGGATCAGCACTGCCAGGGCAAAGGGTGGGCAGAGACCTGCCCTGTCTGGGGTGGCTGATGGAGTCATTGGGATGGATCTGGGGGAGGGTTTTGCATTCCACGAGAACAAACGCAGGAGTGTAAGGCACTGTCTGTTCCCGAGAGCGACCACCCGGTGGCATTTTGCATTTGTAATGAAGCAAGCACAAGTCCCACCTCTGCCTGCCTTCCAGGGAACAGTGAAATACGATCCGGGCTAATGAGGCTGGAGTAACTGAGTTTTCATTAAAGATTGGCTCTTCTCTAACAGGCCAGAAAGAAGCTCAGTTCTACAGACATGGGGAGCAAAGCCA